ACAACATCTTCCTCTTGATGGCTCTCAGCAGCGCCATCGGCCCAGAATGGGCCCTCTCGGCGTTTCAGACGCAAGGCCACGCCGGCGCCTTGCAGTCGTGACCTCAGAGAAATTATAACAAGAGCGTAAGCACTGGTTTGGACGACTCCGCCAAGCTTGCACCCTTGCCTCCCCCCCGTCATGGTGTACACGAATGTGTCGCACCCTGGGCATTGGAACCAGGACTTCGTGTGTAGTCCGCGAACGAGCGCCGCCACTTTGGGGTCGAGCCCCATTTGTTGAAACGCAGTGCCGTGCGATTCAGTGTGCTCACAAATCCAACCAGCGACCTCCGGAGAACAACCACAGTTGACAAGGTAGTCGGTCTTAGGTCTTAGACGTTGTGTCGCACCCAACGTCACTCGGCCACCCGAAAAAGAGCTCGCGCAAGACTTTGTCCAAAGCTTTCGTGAGATCCACGTACAATACAAACACACACAGAGATGCAAGCGCAGCAAAATCGAGACAGCTCAGCAAGAAATGGTGGGCAAAATCGGTGCTGCGGCCTGGTACGGCGCCGTTTTGGGACTTCGGTAAAAAGGCGGCGTAAGGCTCACCGATTGCACTTTTTAATGTGCCAATCATCGCCTTGCCCATGTGATCAGAAATCAACAGCCGTCTGCTGTTGTCAGGCTCAGAGCTGTCACCCGTGCCTTTGAACAAAACAACCATGCGGCCGCCTTTCCACTGCACGGGCCATCCTTCCTCGTTCACAACACGGTCACATGTCAAACAGCTTGACTGCCAGACTGGACCCGCCTGCCTTCAGAAGTTCGGCGCTGATGCGGTCAGGGCCGAGGGCCTTGTTATCACTCAGTGCTCTGATTGACTCGTGCACGCACGTGGGGCTCACAACAAAAGAAGACTCAGTCCGCGCACCGGGGCACGACACTAGCTCGCTCTGGCTGTGCACCTGACTGCCGCCGACAACCTCCATGAAGTGATGCTGCCAACGATTGCACATTTCCTCTCTTGTCGCGGAGACACTCCCATCATGCAACTTCACGGCCTGAGGGGGGCGCATTTTGTGACCTGCAAGAGCCTTGACGACTCCGCGCGTGCCTCGCAAATCACCCCTGTCAGCAAGCCACTGGGCCTTGAAAGCAAGATTTTCGAAGTGAAGGGCCCTGTCGCGGTCAATGACGCCACGAACCCCTTGCTGGATGACAACAATGCAACGGTAACATACTGCTTCATTGCAACACAGCGACAACCATGTGCTACGAATGTCAGCAAACCGAACAAGGGCAACCCAACCAAAACCGCACACGTCTTGGCTGCATGGGTGACTGTAATGGTCCTGTCGGCGGCCCGGGGGGTACGACTCAGGGCGCGCCGACGCCCACAACATGAAACACGCGTGCAAATACCACTTCTTCCCCTGCTGTCTCGCTACGTGCATGACACGACGACAAGGCCCGGTGTGCTGAAGCAACTCCCACGCGCTGTCAGATATCCACCCTTTGGAGGGCGACTTTGGTGGAGACCCGAAGATCCGACGTGCTTGCGTCAGCAGGAACGCATTGAATTCAGCAACGTGCTCATCGACAGAACAATTCTGTCCAGGCACGAAATTCCACACTGCACGCTCGGACTGGCCGCGGATATGTGCATTGTCCAAGGCACGGGCATCAAACGACATGCTGCTCTTCCCTCTCACACGACTCTTACCACCAACGGCGTTTTCCGCCGAATCCACACTCAGTGACGCGCTCACAGCCCGGCGGTCCTCCCATGCGTTTTTGGACAGGTCAACATCACACAACACGCGGCATGCATGAACACATGTGTGCAAACACTCATCAAGACAAACATAATCAATGCGATGCGCAGAGCCACTGGAATGCCTCCACGTGTAACCAGTGTCAAACCAAGTGCTAGTAGCATACAACCTGTGATCACGAAGGAAACACCTAAACAACATGCCGTTATCATTCTCCTCCTCCGGTTCACACGGCCCTATGTGTGTACATTGAACAGATCCCACCCGTGCGTTGGCATCAATCAGCACCACGACAGATTGACCTTTCCTACCGGCACCGCCGACGTGGCACGCAAGCGAGTCCCAGAACAAATGCTTTACTTCGTTAGGCGACTCGTTGTGTGGAGCATGGCACGAGAAGACATGAACAACCTCCTTGCGGCCCTTCCACCGCCCAATAGTCTGCACGATGCGAGGGCCACGCGGCACGAACGACTCAACGACGTAGGGGCCACCGCGTCGCACCCACAGTTGCGACCCATAATTCCCCTTCTCATCCGCACTGGAAATGAACATATCATACGAAACGCCTGTGTACTGCTGGTCACGCTGAATCCCCCCCTCTTGGATACCAACGACATGCATCCCAGCGCGCAGAAAGGCGCATTCAAGCAGCTGGAGCCGCCCATTGGCGGATACATCTTGGGCAGACCACTGCCCGTCAAGCAACGAGCAAACGTTGGCTGAACAACAAACGAATTCAATAGGCTGATCGGTTTGTGCCTCCTGGGGCCCACTGAAGGCCGGGGTCCTGGCAGGAGTCGGGGGGAGGGGGGGAGTCAGAAGCGAGGAAACATCTCTAGGTCCCAGGGCGGCTCCGCCAGCCTCCCCTGTTTGTCAGCACTTAAAATCAAGAGCGCACGGTGTCTCTGCTGCAAGTGCACTCTGTGGCGATTTGCCGCTCACCCGGCGATGCCCGTTCGAAGGGGCACCACACAACTCCATGTCGTCATCCAGGCCGCCTGATGCGACCTTCGACGGCGACAAGCTTGGGGACGAACTGGACCTCCCCATCTTCCTCGGTGGCGGCGCCGGTTCCGGAGCCGCCGCCTGCGCGGCAGCTGCCTTCTGGGCCTCGGCCGCCACGACGACGAGGTTCTGGTATAGCGTGTTCATGGCGGTTTGGGCATCCTCCACGATGTGGCTCGGGACTACCGGCGACGACTGCATGTCAGACAACACGTCCTTCAAAGCCTCGGACATGCTCTGCAGGCAATCCCGGCGACCGCCGCCCGACGACGAGGTCACCTGCGCCTGGAGCCGCGTGTACTCGCTCTCCAGCCTGGTCACGTCGAGCTTTGCCGCGTCCGCTTCCTTCTGCGTCTCCGTGAGCGCACTCTGCGCTTTGAGGCGCCGCCCCTGTGCCCGCTCCAGCGCCGCTGCACACGTCGACAACTGTGCAGACGGAGGTTTACTGAGCGTAATGGCACGCTTGGCCATGGCAATCTGCCCCTCCAAGTGCGAGCGCGTGGGGGCGAAGAGGCCGTTGTCGGGCAGTTCCCGCAACATGCCCTCCATGACCTTGATGTCGCATGAGGTTGGCACGGGCGGAGCTGCTGTGTGTGTGCACTGCCCCCGCCACCCGTCGCAGTAGCCGGGTTGGTGTCGACCGCGCCGATCCCCCCTTGCCCTTTCTCCGCGGTCACTCCCATGCTGGTCGGAAGAGCCGGCCAGAAGTACGAGAGGGTGATGGTGTGCGGCTGCGGCCGCACGTGCTGCTGTTGCTGCAACTGGTTCTGCTGCTGCCCCTGCTGCTGCACAACTTGTTACTGCTGACTGATCAGATGCTGCTGCGACTGCCGCTGCTGCTGCAACTGCTGCTGCTGCAACTGCTGATGGGACATGTGCTGGTGCTGATTCTGGTGCTGCACTCCCTGCCCTCCGAGTGCGAACGATTTTGCGAAATCCTTCTTTACCCCGCACTTCCAGAACTTGCCCTTCTTGGACTCATTCCACGAGCTGCAGAGCGCGCACTGAACCCATGGCGAGCTCCACCCATCGTACGATGCGCGCTGCCAGACCGACATGACCGTGAACCACCACGAAAAATGTCAATCGAAGTACGGTAGCTGTGTGCGCTGATCACCTTGCTTGAGTCTCCTCTCCTCTAAGTCTCCTCTCCTCCTCCTCCTCCTCCTCCTCCTCCTCCTCCCCCTCGCTCTCCTACCTATGGCAGCGGAGGTGGAAAATCGGCCCATCAACTGCGACCGCAGCAAATGCGACCGAACCGCGAACACTTGCGAGGCACCCCTCCCCCGCGGCCGCACTTATTCCGAAACAGCACGCTCCCGGGCGGCGCGGGCTATCGGGCCCCTATCGGTGATGAAAGGGCGAGTGGGGGTCGAAGCATCCCCCCTCGAGCCCATCCCCCCGCGCATTGTCCTCCGTTCATTGCCACCCTCTCCAGCGGCCTATCGGGACGATCCAGACGCACCAGGAGCGGCCTCGGCGAGGCGCAGCCGCTGGAAGGCCCCCCGAGGCAGGAAAGCCGCCCAGAACCGACGAAGACGCCCGCTAACCTCAAACCTCGAACCGACGAACCCCCTAACGTTGATCTTACGTTGCATCTTCGGGGGAACTTGTCTATCCCATCGCGTCGCTACTCGCGTCGAAAACGCGTCGAATCCACGTCGAATCCGCGAGTCCACGTCGAATCCGCGTCGAATCCGCGTCGAGTCCACGTCGGATCCGCGTCGAATCATGATTCCATCCACGTCGACCCTGCGGCAGATACACGAAGACATCGTGGCTTCCCACCGAATGTGCAATTCGAGTACCCACCCACCCCAGCGTTGCGCCTGAAGGCCCCCCCCCGCGGCTGCGCCTCTGGCAGGAAGAAGACCCAGCCGAGCGGGTCGGAGGCTGGCCCCTCGATGAGGCCGTGCGCCCCGGCGACCGCGTCGCCCACCCTGCCGGAGGCCAGTGCCTGGCGCCCAAGCGAGGGGAGTCCGGCGCCCTGGCCAGCCCTTCGGCGTGGACGGGAGTCTGGTCGGACGGCGACGGCGACGACGGGAAAAGCTCGAAAAGCTGGAAAACCCATCGTTTTTCAATGGGGTAGTCTCTGGGAAAAGCTGGAAAAGCTCGAAAAGCTAGAAAACACCATGTTTTTCAATGGGGTAGTCTCTGGGAAAAGCTCGAAAAGCTGGAAACACACATCGTTTTTCAATGGGGTAGTCGCTGGGAAAAGCTGGAAAAGCTCGAAAAGCTGGAAGACACATCGTTTTTCAATAGGGTAGTCTCTGGGAAAAGCTCGAAAAACAGGAAAAGCAGGAAAACACATCGTTTTTCAATGGGGTAGTCTCTGGGAAAAGCTCGAAAAGCTGGAAACACACAGCGTTTTCCAATGGGCTCACTGCGGTGAAAGCTGGAAAAGCTGGAAAGCACAACGCTTTTCACTGGGGTAGTTATTAGAAGGCAGGTCATGGCAAAATGTCTGAAGCCGACCTTGAAACCCACTGCACAACGTGGAGAACGAAGAGAACGTGGAGGAAGGGGAAGGAGAGGCGGAGGAAGAATACGAATAACATATGCTCGCACCCCGCCCCAATCGCTGGAGGATGAGGGGGATGAGGAAGATGTGGAGGATAAGGAGATGAGGAGGAGGAAGCTGAGGATGGTGAGGAAAATGAAGATGAGGAGAAGAGGAAGATGATGATGATGATGATGATGATGATGATGATGATGATGATGATGATGATGATGATGATGATGAGGAGGAGGAGGAGGAGGAGGAGGAGGAGGAGGAGGAGGAGGACGAGGGTGGTGAAGGTGAGGAGTGAGGAGGAAGATGAGGAAGATGAGGAAGCGAGAGGAGCAGAGGATGAGGAGCAGAGGATGAGGAGCAGCAGGGGGAGAAGAGATAAGATGAGGAGATAAGGAGATGAGGATGAGGAGAGGAGGGAGATGAGGAGGATGCCCCTCCTACCCACCAAGTCAGTCGTTTGGGGGTGCTGGGGGGGGGGGGGGGGGGGGGGGCGAGCTTACTACTAGCCAACCTCCTACTCCTCGATCAGCCTCTTCACGCTTGCTGCTATGAAAAAGCCTTGTCGGTCTCGATTTCGGCATCCTGGGCACACCATCAGGTGTCGAACCCCAGGACCATCAAACACTTACCTGGGACGCAGAAGTACCTCTGGGGAAGGTGTCGTGAGCTCTGGGACCTGACCCACCCAAGGGTAAAGGAGCCTGGCCCTCCCTTCGGTGCGGAAGGGGGCTCGGCGGAGGGCCAGTCGAGACGACGGCGGCCCTCCCTTTTGCACTTGTCGTCCTCTCTGGGCCTCCTGGGGGCTTCCCGTCACCACGGCTGGATCCGCCTCGGAAGAGCAAGTCGGGACAGACCCCTGGAGAGGTCCAGGCACCGATTTTGAACAGATTTGGGCCGAGCGGGAGAGCCGCCGCTGTCTCAACTGGCCGGAGAGGGTCAGGGAGCCTGGCCCACCAAAGGGTTATGCAGGATGGAGACGACTGCGATGAGGCTTTTCCTCCAGGGGAGGACAGCCTCGCGCACGCCAACCTGGCCAGTCAAAACCTTGGGCTGGGATGGCGGCAGGTGGGGGAATGGGGAAGCATAGATGTGGGACGCACGGAGACATACTGATATGGAGAGAGCGCGTTTCACGGGCGCCTGCCTCGGGAACATCCGGCGGCGCGTTTCGAACTGGGGGGTGGGCCCCACCCTCAACACTCGGCGCCGTCGATCAAAACCAGGGGCTCCCCTCCCCCCAAACCCCCCCCTCTCCCGAAACCGGCCCCCCCCCCTCCCAAGGGTGGGGGGGGGTTCAAGCCCCCCCCCCCTTCGGCGCCGGAGCTGGCGCCCGCGTTGGCGGCCGCCAGCAGCGCTGGCGCTGGCGCCGGCGACGGCGGGGACGCAGCGACGAGTACCACCACTACCACCACCACCACCACCACCGCCTCAACCCACCACCACCACCACCACCACCAACCCACCACACAACCACCACCACCACAGCCATCTCCACCACCACCACAACCACCACCACCACGCACCACCACCACCACCACCACCACCGCCACCACCACAAAAACAGACCACCACCACCACAATCTACCACACCACCACCACCGCCACAACCACCACCACTACCAGCAGTTCAACCCCCACCACCACCACAAACCACCACACCACCACCACCACCACCGCCACCACCACCACCACCACCACCTCCACAAACCACCGCCACCATCACAACCCACTACCACACCACAAACCACCACACCCACCACCAAGCCACCACCAACACCACCACCACAACCCACCACCACCACAAACCACCACCACACCACCACCAAACCACCACCACCACCACCACCACCACCACCACCACCACCACCACCACCCACCACCACCACAACAAACCACCACCCCACCACCACCACAACCACCACCACCGCCACCACCACCACCACAACCAACCACCACCACCACCCCCGTCGTCCTCGTCGACGCTCCCCGCCGCCGCCGCCCGCCGCCGCAGGCGCCAGCGCCGGCCCAGAAAAGGAAATCGTCGTCCCCGCCGCCGCCGCCAACCGCCGCCGACGCAGGCGCTGGCCCAAGGAGAGAGGAGAGGGAGGGAGGGGAGGGAGGGGGGTTCGAACCCCCCCCCCTCCGTCACGGGAGAGGGCACAGAACAGAACGCGCTCTTTCACTGATACTAGATGTCCTCCTTGGAGGCGCGCGTCCGACCCGAACATATAGTACACCCATCTTGTAGTACATCGTTTCCCGAGCGGTGTGACCAAAAAGCGCCCGCCACGACGCATATATTATAAGAGTTCTCGGTGCGCGCGTCGCCCCTGAGGGGGGGCGACGCACACATAGTATCAGTATATTGGAGCGACGCCGAAGATAGGGCACGCGTATACGGCAAATTCGTGACGTGCTGCCCTGGGCGTGAATCACTGACACCGCGGGGATCGTTCAACCTTGAACGGTCGGCCGTTTCCGAAATGTCAGATCGTTCGGCATCGACCGATTATGGGTCGCCGGCGGCGTTCAACGCTGAACGCCGGCGACAGGGTCGCCGCTGGTCGACATGACGCGGGCCTACCGTACACACATACGCATTCCGTGCCGAGCCCCTTCCGTGACGACCCCCATCACTCTCGAGGCTCGCCCTCTGGCCGCCTGCCTGCCCCGGTCTTGAATCGAGGCGAGAGGGCCGTCACGGACGGAGTCAGGCTGCTGTGGATCGGCCAGGCTCCCTCTGAGAAGAAGACCCAAATATCTGACGGCGTCACGGTCAAACCGCCACAGATAGAATGCACATGGAGACTTTGATGTGCACTCTATTCGGGGGTCGAAAAGAGCGTACTTCGAACAATGGGTGCACGCTGTACGTGGTTGTGCCGCCTTTAGCGTGCACGTCGGATGTCCGTAAACGTTTAGAATGCACCTGCGTTTTCAGAGTGTCGATCTGGCTCAGCAGTCCCTGGAACCACACTTGGCATTTCGGCCTCCGCAGGCCCGAGCCACTTCTGCCTCCTGCTCCTTCTCCTGCTCCACCTCTTCCTTCTCCGCCTCATCTTCCTTCTCCTCCTCCCCCTCCTCCTCCTCCCTTTCCTCCCCCCCCTCCCCCCCTCCCCCTCCCCTCCCCCTCCCCCTCCTCCTCCTCCTCCTCCTCCTCCTCCTCCTCCTCCTCCTCCTCCTCCTCCTCCTCCTCCTCCTCTAAACGAGCGCCATGCACACTTTCATTCGGATGGGGAGCGGAGGAGGGGACGGAGTGGAATGGCGAGCTGGAGGTGGAGAACACGTATAGTGTACCCCCCGAGGAGCGCCATACAAGCATGTCGCTCGAAGGAGGGAGGGTAGGGGACGGAGTGCAGCGGTGAGCCGAATAGTAATCGTATAGCGTGCAGCGCGACTGTCCGTTTAGCGTGCCGCATATCGCCAATGTAAAAACCTTTAGCGTGCAGGGCCGCTTTGAGACATGGACAACGTATAGCGTGCACGCACGGCTTGGTATTTTTCCAAGGTGGTTTTGACCAGGGGAGTCGGCGTATAGCGTGCACAGTAATCGAGTAATGTCTTGTCCCTCAAGGGGGGTCGTGCACGCTAAACGTGGCGACTTGAACGTATCTGATTTCGCACTGCCATGCCATTCTGCACGGCTGGGGACTTACAACTCCAGGTACCTTCACCAGCAGCAAGCACTTTAGACTTTAGCGTTTGCCTGGTGGCTATTTGCGCTGCCTCCTCCTCCTCCTCCTTCTCCTCCTCCTCCTCCGCCTCATCCTCCTCCGCCTCCTCCTCCTCCGCCACCGCCTCCGCCTCCGCCTCCTCCTCCTCCTTCTCCTCCTTCTCCTCTTCCTCCTTCTCCCCTCTCCTCTCTCCCCGTGGACGCCTGGTTCCACCAGAGGCTGCTGAGGACACGCTGGGCCAGAAAAATTGGGTACTGCACGTCCCCGTCGTGCAGCCGGCAGGGGACGATCAGAAGCAGGAACGACACTGGCCAGCATCCGTAGGACGAACAAGAGTAACAAGAGAAGGAAGACGATCCGAGAAGAGAAGGAAGAGAAGAAGAGCAAACGAAAGAACGAAGTCCGCTGCCCTGCAAAGAGGGTGGGGCCGGAAGCAGGAGGAGCAGGAGGAGCGGCGGCGAGATGAGCAAGAGGAGCAAGAACGTCGGGAAGCAAGAGCTGGGGCATGGCCGGCAGGCTTTTACCTGGTCACCGCTCATGTCTCCTACAATGAAACGGCTGGCGGGAAGGCCGCAGTACCATATTAGACCCCTGCGCAATATGTGATTACTCAGCCTGGCCGGAAACACAACCTGCTGGAATCTAAACATCGGCTCAACGTCCAACACGTGGACAAAAAGAGCCGGTCGAAAATTGTATTAGGTAGAAGGTATCCGGCCCATGCGGCACAGAAAACGTATTAGAGGCACGACTGCTGCTTATAGCAGC